CATAGTTCTCAAAATAAGTAGATAATCAGTCATGAGTCATGCATCAATGTCATTGTGACTTCCTATCCAAGTCAGCATCAATGGTATTATTCATATATCTCAAAACACTCTTCATAGCTTGCCAATGAATACTTCATATATCATGTATGAACCTGCTCATAACACCAACAACTTGTGAAATGTTTGAATTGAGCTGCTCCAAATTCAAACAATATTGCACTACAAGTGCTAACTGACCACAGGTCAAACGATTCTTAACCACTGGGGAGAGCATCACATCATAAGCTATCACTTCCCATTGTGCTAAGCTTTTTGCCGCCAATTTAGCCTTATACTATGTTATAATCCAAATTTTTTAAATGATTTTTTTAAAATGAAAGTTCTCAGTTTTAGTGTCGTGCCTTATCGAAGAGAATAGAGAGAAGGTTGCTTGAGGCTTTCACATATGTTGATTTTGTTTAGAGATATCTTCTATTCATTGTAAGTAACCCAAATCTCATTTTAGCTTTCAATAATTTTGAGAATAATATAATTTTTTTAATTAAACATAATTGATTATTTCCTACCACTATAGGAAAATCATCATTTAGCGGCTGCCCAGCCACTCGCCCATGGTTTGCCAGCCAGGACTCCCCCGCGCCCACTCATGCTGTTTGATCCGAGGAGCTACCTCTCTGCCCGGCTCCGCGTAGCCGGGTAGCCGGTTGGCCAGTGTGGCTTTGATCGGATTTCAACTGAGTCCCAAACCTTTTTTTGCTAACGTCCCCAACCATTTGTTAAGGAGGGGAAAATGCCTTTAAAATGCTTATTATTTTTTATTTAAATATAATATACAAATATTATCAATTTTTAAAAAAAAGTTTTAGAATAAAATAATTAAAGTTAATAATTAATGAATAAGTTTATTAATTAAAAATATAATTACACTAAGTTATTAAATTATAATAATTAAAATAAATTAATAATTAAATGAAATAAGCCTATAAATTATAATTAATAAATTTGAATATATGATTTTTTTCAAAAATTTATTTACAAAAAGAATAGTTGTTAACACAAATAAACATGGGTTAAGCTATCAAAAATAAAAATAACCTTTCATAGGAGGGGGCCGAAAAAATATAGGACTTTCTTTTTTTTTTAAAATAGTTTTGTAGTGTTATCCCGTTTATAGCATGTAAATAGGATTGGAAGATTAAGCAGACGGGTAAAGACTGATGACTTTTATTGATTTAATGAAGCCACTTAAAATAACAGTTGATTAATTGGATAAGTGATAATTGATATGGTTGATGACCAACTAGGAATCAGTTGCAACTGGGTTAAAAGAAATTTAAAATACTATGTTAAAGCTGAAAATATAGATTTATTATTAAGAAACTCTAATTGATTAATTAGATTAATTAAAAAGATAAAATATATAATTCTTTCAAATTTGATTATGGAACATTACAAATTAGTATCATATCAGTTATTGGAAGAATTGATAGAATTATTACCAAAGGTATAAGAAATTAATTGTGAGTCTCGTAAATTAGGTAGATTAAGGTGCATTGATTTAAATCCATAATTGATTGCATATGTAAATGACATGTGATTGAATGAGTTGTAAGAGTGTATGATAGGAATTGATTGAGTTTCATTTTGTGATTTGTTCGATTCGATTTGAGTTTCATTCTACAAAGTTTTTTGGTATTTATTTGTTGTCTAAATCCTTATGGGGAATGATAGAAATGATATTTTTCTAAGGTAGGTAGATTGTAATAATCTTGAAATGAATTTTTTTAAATGAAAATTTTAATTTCAGTGACGTATGTGCCTTGATGAAGAAGAGAGAAGGAAGAGATAGAAGGTTGTTCAGGGCTTTTATCCATCAATTTTGTTCAAAGATTTCTTCTATTCTTCGTAAGTAACCCAAATCTTATTTTAGTTTTTAATGACTTTGAGTATTATAAAAATTTTCTTGTGTTGAATAGAATTGACTATTTCTTATATTTTAATTATAACATTTGCATAAGAAAGAAAGGCTTGTTGTTAACATTATGAAATGAGTTAGCTATTAAAATATAACACCCTTCATAGAAGGTTAGGCCGACGGACTTTCCTTTAAAGATGGTTTGTGATGTTATCAAGGTTGTAGTATGTAATAGATGACCGGTTACACTGACAGGCAGAGAGTGATGACTCTTTATTGATTTAATGAAGCGATCTGTAATAATAATTAATTCATTTGATAAGTGATAATTAATATGACAGTTGACCAACTGGGAATAAGTTGGGGTAAAATATGTTGAAAACACCACGTTAAAGTTGTATATACATATTTATTGTTTTGAATCTTTGGTTAATTAATTATATTAATTAAAAAGATAAAATATATAATTCTTCCAAACTTGATTATGGGGCATTACATATTGCACATCAGCTTTAAGAGATAATTCCTTCTTTGCACGCATCCACTTGTACCTAATGAATTTCCTACGTGGAGAAATCTTTCTCAACCTCCAAGTAGCATCCTTCTAAAGATACTCTATCTCTTCATCCATATACCTCTTCCAAAGATCTTCATTAGCAGTGTCCACTGCTACCTTATATTGACTATAAATTTTAGCCTTTATGGCTAAAAGTGCAAATGCAATGTGATCCCTTAACCAATTTAGTTTTGGAATATTCTAGAGCTTGGACATGTTCTTCACAATAGATTCTTGAGTAGGAATATCATCCTCAATGTCATCTTCTACCTCCTTATTTATAATGAAATTAGGTACCTGAGTAGAAATGATCTACCTTTGTGGAATAATTGGAGTTGCATTAAACATGCTTGCCTCGTCAAAAGTAACATGCACACTAATGACAATCTTCTTTTCTAATTAATCATATAGTTTAGATCCCTTGACTCCTCACCTAAAACCAATAAAAATTGCCTTATTTGCAGTTAGTTTCAGTTTTTTATCTTTAACATGATAGTAAGTAGACACCAAAATACTCTCAAGTGCTCAAAATATTTAGTAGGATGTTTTGACCACATCTCTTTTGGAGTTTTCTTCCAAATAGATGTAGTTAAAAAATGATTCACCTAGTGGCAAACATAGTCTATTGTCTCAGCTTAATAAACTCTATCCAATCTAGCATTGGATAACATACACCAAACTTTCCCCACCAAAGTCTAGTTCATCCTCTCTTATATCTAGTTTTACTGCGGTGTCTATCTAATAGTGAAGTGGTTCTCAATCCCAGATCTCTGAAACTCATGCAAGAATGCATCTAAAATGTATTTTCCCTCATTACCTGATCTGATACAATATATTCTTTTGCCAATTTGAGTATCAATCAACTTCTTTCAAGTTCTAAAAATCTTCAGTACCTTGCCCTTGCACCTCAGGGTGTACACCCAAATATATATAGATAAATCATCAATAAAAGAGAAAAAGTATTGTCACCGCTCGAACGATGCTATCTTCATTGGTCCCCAAGTATATATTTGAACATACTCCAAGATATCATTTATATTATGGATGGAAATACCAAAAGATACACATGTCTTCTTGCCAAACACATAATATTTACAAAGATCAAGCTTATAGGTTCTTG